AGAGTCAAACCATCCATGCTTCCTGGCCCTGTTCCACTCTGTTCCAGAACACATCCTTATCTTCTGCTTGACTCTCCCTGTGCTGTAAATGCTGGCTGCTCCTAACGTGGCATTGGCTGTAGCATTAGTGCACAGCATTCCTCCAGATTTGCAATCATGAAGAAGTTTCTCTCAACATATAAATAAAGCTTACAGAGACCCTGTGTATGAGACATTTGTTACTTATTGAAAGAAATCTGTGTTTTGGTTAGAACAATCAGTTCAAATGAAAACTGCCTAAACATGATGATAAATCAGTGATTTCGTTTGCGAATTCTTCTTTGCTGACACCAACATTGAAAGCTGTAGCAAGGAAAAAAATGGAAGCAAGAGAAATGGTAAAGAAAATATTAAATATTGCTCCTCCAGTGTTTTCAAAAGACAGACACATTTAGGAAAACCACCATGTCCACAAAAAATGAGGACACATCCTGCTGCTACTGCTACTAGAAATTTAAATAGTCTTAAGAAAGAAAAAAAAAGGTTGGAAAGTGCTGTTTTGTGAGCCTGGACATGAGGTGTCTATGCTGAGCAGCTCCATTTCTTCCACACTGTCCCCATACATCTCGGTAACATATGGTGCAGGGAAATGTGACCTTTGAGAATGGTGTTGAATGAACCAGCACTGTTGTTTTCCTAGAAAGGAAGACTGAGGGAAGATTAAAAAAGAAATAGCAGGGGGAAAGGAACAACATCATCTTTGTCCTGTGCACAATGAACAAAGAAAACTGCTGTGACAGTGAATGGATATTCAAGAGAAACCAGGGCAGTCGGTCACAGCGCTGCCAGGCAGTCTCCATTTCAGGGGTTTTGGCAAAAGGGCACTTACAGATGAGTCAAGTCCTGTCCATAGGGACAGAAAGCCAGGACCTTGCAGAGTTGCAGTGACCACAGGTGGTGGTGCCAGGCTGTTATTCATGTGTGAAACACCCAAAAGCAGGGATGGGGACACATCATCACCTGATGAGGGGACCCAGGGTGCCTGCAGTGACTCAAACTGATGGAAAAATGGAGTGTCTGACAGACATCAGAGTAAGGTGTTGCTTTGGAGAAAGGAAAACCCCACTGTGCACACACACACCACACAAGAAATACAATGCCAATAAAAAGGTACATCTGTCTGAGAGGATGTGACTGCTGCTCTCCAAGAGTAAACCACAACTGTACTTTAGCTAGTCCTTTAAAGTGAGGAGATTTGCCCTTTGCTGCTGTGGAGGGACCTGCATGTGCAGAGCTGGAACAATGCATTCCCCACCTGGCTTATTTTGCTGTACAAACCGAATGACAACATTTTTTCAAAGCAAAGCCCAGTTGACAAAATAGTAACTTTTAACAGGCACCAATGCATGCTAATGCTCTATTGCAGAATGGGCAGCTTCCCAACACTGGCAGCCCCTAACTCCTCCTCTTCTTCATCTCTTTGCTCCCAGGGGCCAGTCTGGGAGGACTGGAATGGAAAAAAGCCCCTGGTCCCTCATCTTTGACCACCCAGGACACACCAGTGTAGCAAGGATTTGCCTACTGTAAGGAGCACTGCTAAGTCTCACCTGGCTTTAGTTCCCCTTGACTTCTCTTTTTGCTTGCCTTTCTTTTTTCCTCCCCTTTTTCCTTATTTTCCTTTAGGATGACCAGAGTAAACCGAACTGCTGACTCCCAAGTAGCTCGTTCCCATGGCAATGGAGGAGTGGTGGAGAGCAGCAAGACACACTTTGCCCTGGGCAGGGCGAGGGTTAGCCAAGGAGCAGCTCTGCCCAGCAGCCAGTGCCCAGCACAAAGCCTGACTCAGCCCACCAAAGGTGGCATCAAGGCAGGTGCCCTAGTAAGTAGAAAGGTATATATTATCTGATTCATGTGAAAATTAGGAAGAATGATAAGAACTGCAGTTTAAGGAAGGGGATTGAACTGCAGAGAGCCACAAGCACTTGTGGCTGCTGGCTTCACTGGTGGTCTCCACGGGTACCTGCAGCAAAAGGAACACAGCTCTGTCAATGGGCAGGAGCTCATCCTGTTCATCACCACGATCATGCCTAGCATCTGAGTCAGCCCAAGCAATAAATAACGTGACTAATAAACATTCTTGGAGGGAGTGAGCAGAACATCCAGGCCAGTTTCTGGGAAAATGACTAATCACTCTGCCATGCGCTGTCCACCTTTCCTCTCTCCCTGGCCCAGCATCGGGGGAGGGTGAGGAAGGGTGGAGTATGGCGAGGGGCAAGCCTCCATATGTGGTCAGATGTTTCTGAGGCTGTGGCACCTATATCTTGCTCAGCCCCTGGACTGGAAACTGCTGCCTCTTGCCTAGCCCCAGAGCTTCACCAGGGAGAGTGGACATGTGGATGAGGAGTGTTTCAAAGATTATCTCTAAAAGGATGCAGAAAGGTCTTTATTTTTATCCCTTAAAAGATTCAAGCCCCTAGCATCTTTGCTATCCTCCCCTCCACCCCCTGCCTGGCCAGCACGACACAGCTGTGCTGCTCGTGCTCAGTCCATGCTGCTACAGAGTGATGCTGCCAGCTCTGAATTCCCGCGCGGTGATACGCGTAGTTGGAAACAGGCATTTGGGGAGATGTCGTTTGTTGCTCTTCATTTTCCACAACAACAACAGAGGTATTTCCTACCCACTCCCCTCCCTGCCCTGCATTTCAAAGAGCAGCTTTTGTTCTGGAGAAATACCGCTTTGTACCAAAACGCCTGATATTCTGCAGTAAATTATCTTAAAATAGAGACCTCTCTTGCCAGATATTTGTCTTGAAACTGCTCTCCAAACCCTGCGACAGAAATTAAGGGATGGGAAAGGCAAGGCACATGTGACAGAGCAAACGCTGATGCTGTTTGTGGACCATTTAGTTCCCCCATCACCAGCAGCACAACAGGATTAGGGGTGCAGCCAGTCAAATCTCCCTACTCTGTACCAGATCAGGATAGGTCACTAGCATCTGGGAAATCCCTTCAGCTCGTGAAATATGAGTTTTCCCTCTCAGGCAGCCAGCAGCTGAGGCAAAACCCGAGCACAGGCTGTGTCTGGCCACCACCGCAGGACTGCAGTGAGCAGCCAGAAAGACCTTCAGCCTCCAGAGGTTTTAGTTTTTACTGCTTTTCAAATTTTGCATTTTCCCTTTACATTCCATGGCATCAAATTCCATTTACTGTTGTTGTAAAGCTACACCTCGATCACGTATACTTCATCCTGCATTCTTCCAACCATGCACAGGTTTCTCCCTCCCCATGGGTCTTCCCAAGCCAAACAAAACTTTGCTTCTCGTGGGAGGAGAGCCGTGAGTGTCTCCAGCTTCTTTGCAAGCTGCTCATGTCTTCTACAGATTTTTTTTCTGAAGTGTGATTTGAACAGAGGGCTGAGCACAGATGCACATTACAATATTTATCTGTTGCTTTCTGTTTCTGACAAGTGTCTGCATCTGTTTTTGACCATTGCAACCATATCTACAAGGGGTACAAGATCTTTCACCTAAGTGGTAAAGGGTGTCCCTTTCAGTGTGCAGAACAGGAGCTGGGGTCTCCTTGGGAGGTATTTGCACATGCCATTGTATAGGTGGGATGAGTCTAGGGAAATAGAGATCCTATGGAGCCAGGAGCACCCTGAACACAGTACAAATGCAGAAGAAACCTCCTGACCTTCATTGCTTTCACCACATCAGGTCCCTTTAGCTTACAGGCATTTGGATGAGCTTGAGCTGTGGAGGAAGTTTGTGCATCTCCCGCTGTGGGCACATGGCAGACCGTGGGTCATTCTTTCTTTGCCGACAGTGGATCACTCATCCACTTTGAACAAAGAACTAAGGAAGAAAAATCTCCAAATTATGAAATTCTGGACCATTTCCTTAGTGTCTCGACAGCACTCTGTTCGCCTGCCTAAGTTACAGTTTGGCAATCAAGGTTGCGTAACTGTTGGTCCAGTGCCTAGAAAACATATTATTTTAAGAGGACTGTGACCCACCAAGGTCTCTTGCAATCCCTTTTCTCATTTTTTATGAAAAAAACATGAAAAGTGATTTATAATACCACAGTAGCAAGATTTGCTCTTTTTTTCCTAAGTTTTTAATCTGTTTAAGACAGGAAAGCTTCATAATGTACAATTTCAAACTGTCAAAATTTACAGAACAAGAAGAGTCAGATGTAAAACTGGTCATAACTCACAAATATCCCCATTGAAACTGTATAATACAGACATTAAGCCACAGGTCACTTCTCTATTTTTAGGAAAGTGTGCAAAGAGCTAATTGTATAGTACACATAAATGTTAAAAGTGATGCAATGTAAGCAGGTCTGCTGCTGCTATAAAAAATAGACAAGTATAAAATTACTTCTACAAAATTGGTTCATTGTTTTTGTTGCTTGTAATAAAAAAGTAGACCTGTAAGAACTTTCCTCCTCAGCAAACAACAGTATATTGAAACCAGTCATTGTAGCTGTTACCCTGTTACACAGGATGAAACATAATTCAGCTAAAACAGTAAGTAGTAAGGAGAACAGCTTGTTCCAGAACCTATATGTGAATGCAGAAATACACTGCCTGATAGTGTATTTGTTGAACAGCACAGTCACTGTACCACTGCAGAGTGGGATGATTGCAGGTGTTTCAAGATTGCTTTCTCTGATACTACAGAAGACAACCTAAGGACCACAACACAGTCATTGAGCTACTCGTAACATCACACTTTGCCATTTGCACTGATGCACAACCTTTAGTGTTCACTAAACACTTAACAGGTAGAGGGCACGGTTCATACACAAAATACTTGGTTTCGTTTGGTCAGGAAAGGAGAGGAAAGAAGAGGGAACAAGAGGGAAAAATGTTGGGTGGTATTTTTGGTTTCCCTTTGGCTTTTTCACCTTCCCAGATGATGAACACGGTCCGGCTGCAGAGGACTGCGGCAGCCAGCTCACGCTCAGCCACACACGCAAGCACACGACAGGTCCTCAGCACCGGGATTCCTCTCTTGTCACTTGGTCCCACAAGTGTTGATGTTCTTGCCATTGGCAGCATCCTCCACCAGGGAGATATGGTAATCAGTTGACAGCGTGAGGTGGGAGATGCAGCCCACAAGCCCCCGCATGTACTGCCGGTTCGTGTGCAGGGCAATCTCCTTCATGCCACCTGAGGGAAAGGCAGCCATGAGAAACTCTTCACCAACATGAGTATCTGCTCCTGCTTGGCAGACTGCACACCCAGCAACACCATTAGACTTCCTAGTGCAACTCAGAAGGGAATTTCAATTTACAGATTACTCTGTGTTGTTTTAAATACAGATTTTAAGCACTTTAAAGTACAGAGGGGTTAAGCAGGAGGTAATAAACTAGGGTGCTAATTATTTATTGCAGAAATTGTAGCACCAGTAAGAGATGACTGAACTTGTGCCCAGATTCCTACCAAGGTTTGGGGTTTGCAGCTGCCACTCGCTGTGTCTCTATGTATCTCCTCAGGGGTACCACAGTGCACCCCACAGTATTGGTGCCTTCTCGTGTCAGTCCCCCTGATACTCCTCAGAGTGGCCTCTGCACAAAAACCAGGCTGTGGAGGACTAGAGGCTGCTGTGTGATGCCTCCCCCTTGAGCTGGACAGAGCTGGGAGACCCTGCCTTGCAGCCGGCCTTGCAAACACAAAAATGCATCTGGGTCTCAAATGAGAACAGTGAGCACTCACCTATATAGAGATCTCCACTGATGTTTAACTGCCTCATCTTCCCAGGGGATTTACCAGTCCTCGCACCATAATCATCCACAGTTACTTTGCCAGACTGTCCATCCCTGAAATGAAGAGCAAACCACTGTCTTGCATCCAGACTACAAACAGGCAGGAGGAGCAGCAGCATCATCCTCTTGCCAGGAGACCAGCACAACTCAGTGCTTGGCAGGGTTCATGGCAAAGGCATGGGACTGATGCTGGGAAGCCCCACAGATGCAGTGTGCTATGGCAATCCAGACTCTTCAGGGTGTTTCTTTCTAGGGACTAAGGTGCCAAAGAGCTGCAAAGGGTTTGGGATACATATGCAGAGGAGAAAATGCTGGGAAAGAAGTAAATTGCACGGCTAAGGGAGAGGGGAGGATGGACATATTCTGACCTGTTGTTAAAAATGAAAAGCAATATTAAAGTAAACAGCAGAAGCTTCAACAGAAGGGAAAAAATAGGCAAGCTAAGGTAAAACATAAACAGTTTTGTTTCTTACTAGTGCCTTGAAGCCACTTCCATTTTACACATGGTCAGTAACAGTATTGACAGAAAGCCACTTAGTGGGTTTCTATTCTCACTGAATTTGGTAAGAAATCAAGCTAATGTCAGACTGTGATTTCCAGGGAACCAACATCTCATAAAAAGAGAGATGCGTGCTATCCCTGCCAGGCACAGTTGCCTCCCATGAGGTAATGAGTTATAAATATGAGTTATATATACACTAGAAGATGTCTACACCTCCTCCAAATAGAAGAAGTAGGCTTACACTGTCCATGATCCAGTTCTTCTGCCAGCCCACAAAATGCTCACTAGGGAATTTCAAAATGCAGACATTAAAGAATAATACTCTTAACCCAAATGGTATGGGTTTAATAGAATGTCTGTCACACTCCCAGAATAGCCCTGCATGACTTTGGCAGCCTGCCTTGAGCTGTGCCGAGTTGGCACTGTCACCTGCAATACAATAATCTTTGTGTACATCACCCTGAAACAGCCAAGTTGCTAACAGTTCCACTCCTAAGCAATGTGTGTGTGTAGCTACAGTGATTCACACCCGACCAACATCCAGACATGACAGCCCACACCTTTAAAGGCAGGGTGGCTCTGAAACACCTCCGAGATGAAGCATGTCCACTTACCGAACAGCCTTGACTCTGTGCCACCGGCCATCGCTGAAAGAGCCGTTCACCATGATGGAAGCAATGCCACTGCCCAAATTGTAGCTGCCATTAAAACAAAAAAAATTTAAAACTTCAAATGTTACTGCCTCTCTTGCAAGAACCAGCTGCCTGCCAAGTTGTTCCTTACTCCCTTACAGCTTGGATTCTGGCAGAACCAGTGGAGTACTTTAGAATCCCAGCAGCAGTGCAAAGTCAGGCTCACAGAGCAACAGGCAAAACTCCCTCTTGCACGAGTCAGAGGGGATAGCATCACCATGAAACCATGGGAACAAGAAGGAGACTTCTGCATGGCCATTCCTCCCCAAAACAGGGGGTTATAAAGGTCCGTGACCTACAGACCTTTGGAGTAATGGGAGACGGCAGTGGGAAGTTGCAGACACAGTTAATAAATCAATTATTATAAGAGCAAATAAACATGTGACCTATAACAGATCTACAAATAAAAAAACAACAGGAAAGGTTGAGACCTATGATGTTAGAAAGGATGAAGCCTAATAAATAAATGCAGAGATAATCATGAAGATCCTGGCTTCAGCTGCCATTCTAATTATTTCTTTGTGTTTGATTCTACTATAATTACTGAGGAAACATAATGTCCCTATCATGCTTACACTTAAGGGATCTTAATTTCTGGGCCCCAGAAGTTTGGACCATCCTTCACAGAGGTCCTACAACACAGTGTTCAGCTGCTCGAATAGGCAGGATCAACTAGCCAGAACCAGCTGCTGCTGGACTTCAGCTGCATCAAGTGAGAGAGACTAAAGCCAACACTAGCATCTCTTCAAAAAAGGCTGAGCATGGAATTAACTCATGGCCATGGTGAGATACTCAAGAACACCATGCTAAGTTGTGAGATACCCAAAGCAAAATGTTTGCCATACATTTCTGCATTCCCCAGGGGTTTAAGTGAGTCTCAAGCAAACATCATCTTTTACCCAGAACGCAGATACCAGTCTAGGTCAAAAGCTGCAAAACAATTTGGATGCTCAGGATTGTATCAAAATGTTAGACCTTTGATTACAAAAACAAGATTCATATTCCTAACAAATGGGGATCCCCTACAACAGTGATCTAACCTCCTACAGAAGCAGAGAGCAATAGAAACGATTTCAAGCAGTAGGAATGCTGTACAGAGAATAAGGCCATATTTTGGAAACTTGACTTTTCACCTTCCTCAATGCATGTGGAAGGTACAGCTATTTCAGTAAGATTCATATGTTTTGGTTTAAAACCTTTGTGTATCTTCATCTCTGGAGAAGAATAACAACCCTAATAAAAATGCACTGTACCTAGAAAACAGACAATACAGTGGCCACTTACAACCATGGACCTTGGAAAGACAGGCTCTCCAAAAGATAATTAAAAAATGCACCATGTTTGCAGAATCAGTTCCTTGTTTATAAAACAATGATGGCATTTGTAGTTTGTTGTTTCAGTATTTGTCTTACACAACCTAAAAGGGGGCCATGAGGAAAGGCAAGGCTTTCAAAAGACAGGAGCCCCAAAAGAAGCACCACGGAAAAAGTTGCACTCAGTGTCTGCAAGGGAGAAGGAGATTCCGGAGAGAGAACATTTCCCAATACTCCCCAGTTTCAGCATTTTGACAGCAATATTATGTCTTATATAAGCATTTCTGTGGATGAATGTGCTGGTTTGAGCTGAAGT